TTCCTTCCTTCCTCTCCTTTTCCTTCCTTCCTTCCTTCCTTCCTTCCTTCCTTCCTTCCTTCCTTCCGCTCCATTCCATTCCATTCCGTTCCAGCAGCAATGGCACCCCCGGAGGTGGTGTGGGGATACTTCTATCTGTGCCCTCCCCTGCCCTACACAGTTGCTACACTTCACTACAGAGTTTCTCGATCTGCCGCAAGGCGGCAGGCACACGCGGCTTGCAGGCACCGTCCTCTCCTGCTGAGCCCCCTTTCAAAGTCTGGGATTCTCATGGGAGGTCCCGCTCCGCAGATACTTTAGAACTGCCCCTGAATCCAAGGACCATTTCTTAGTGCCCAGTCTGTGCCCGGCTCTGTGGCGCCCAAAAGTAAAGTGAGCCAGTATCGGCCCCCGTGAGAAAGACAGTCATGTGAGCAGCCAGCCACGTCAGTGTGAAGGTGCTCGGTGCTAGGTGCTCTGAGGACACGGGGAGAGCAATCGGTTGTCAGGGGCAAGCAGGGAGGCCCTGTAGAGGAGGTGATATATGGAAAAGAGTTTTCAAGGATGCATAGAATCACAGGCAGAACGGGGATAGAAAGACCTTTCTGGAAGGCCAAAGGGCAGGTGCAAATGCAAGGAAGGACAGTGAGCAGCAGAGAGCTCCCCGGGGGTTCTCATCTTGTGAAGCAAGGGAGGATGAGCTGCTTGGCAGATGCAGGGTGGGGCCTTCAAAGTCAGCTTAGGGAGTGTGGTGGCCTCTACTCATTCAGAATGGAGAACCATGGGTGGCTTCGGGATCGGGGTCCCTCCATCGTAGAACAAGCTGTATATTCTCTCCCTCTTTAAAGCTTTGGCTAAGAAGAGAATCCCTATATGAGGCCAGAGGAGCTGACTGCTCTACTCTCCATGCATTAGCTTCTGTGCCCCTCGGCTTCTGCTCAAACTCCTATGCCTGGCCTCCGGAGCCCTCGTGGCCTTAGCTCTGGCTCATTCTCCATGGTTTTGCTCCCTACAGCACCACCACCAACCTCGAACTTTGGTTTAAATCACCTGCACCCTCAAATGCCCTGTATGCCATCTCCGGCCGCCATGCTTCTGCTTTCACGCTCCTTCTGGTGGCTGTGTCTCTCTCCCCACGCAGACACCTAGTCTGGCACAGACGACCCTGTCCTACCACTGCTCTAGCCCCACAGAGTGTACTACCTTAAGGTCTCTGACATGCCCTGCCTCTGTTTACCATCCTTTCCCACCTAGAGGATGAACTCCTCAAGGCCCAAGACCCCCGCATCCTCGGGGCCTTTCCACAGCACATCACAGGTCCTGACCACCTGGTCCATTCATTCATCACTCAGTAGATATTTGTGCTCATTCAAGAACTGTTTAACAGAAGATGGGGTGAATAGGTGGAGAGTTATGGTGTGAATTTGTTCAATAAGCAAGGACACAAGTGAACCTGTGGGTGAGGGGATAAATGCACGAGTGAGCCAACGAAGACATGGGAGAACGCGGGAATAAATGAATGAGTGCATGCAGGAGGAAATGAATCAGCTCGTTGAAAGGGCTGATGCAGGCCGAAGGTCCCCCGTCTGAGAAAACAGCTGCAAGGAGACAGGATTCAGGAGAGAAAGGGGGGCCCTCTCCGGGCCTCTCGTGGGCCTTTCCAACTGCCGTGGAAGCGTCGGTGGCCACGGGACAAGGGTGGCCCATCCCAAGCATGCAGCTGTGGGACGTCTTGCAGAGTCCACCCCCAGAGGTTCTGCGTGAGCTCAGGGAGAGTTTAGGCAGCTTTGCCTGGATTCAGAGAAGCGACTCTCCCTCCTGGAGCCCCAGGCCCCAGGCCCCAGGCCCCATGATTCTGCTGGGCCCTTGGGGGAATAGGAAATTGACCCCAATTTCCTGGAGCCTTGGCCTGGGCCTATGATGTATTTGGCCTCCAGCCCCTGAAGGGCTGCAGACCTCAGCACTACGTGGGCCAGAGTTGGCTGGGGACCTCGGTTTGCAGCAGAGAACGTATTAGAACTAGCTGGAATCTGCTCAGGGAATTTCGCCACAGAGAAATCCACCGTAGAAGGCTCCACCATAGAAGAGGGGAGCATAAAGGCCCTGGTCTTGCTGCCTCCAGCCCCTCTCCCTCCTGCCCAGTTTATCGGGCACTTCCGGCTGCTGATTAAATCTGCGTTTAAAAAGTATGCCATCCTTCTGCTAAGACACCTTCGCCTTCCAAACGAGTCACACTTGTGCCCTGGCACTCCAGGGTCTCCACGGTGGCGCCCAGATGGCAAGGCTAGGCCCATCCCTTGCCATGCACCTGTCTTTCCTTCTAGTCTCACGGTTAGCTGGTCTCTCCTGCACATTTCTCTTGCTTCCCACCTCCGCATCTTTGCCCTCGCTGTGCCCTCTGCACAGCAGACTTTCCAGAGCCTTTCTGGATTTCCAAGTTCCCCTTTAGGACTAGATCTTGGTGCACTCAGGGCTTACCTACCAGCTAGTACAGAGTCTCAGAATTAACCCTTGATGTTAAGTCTAGGGTGACCACAGAAGACATGACGTTGAGGATGCAATCTGAGAGAACCCAGGACCACTAGGCAAGGAGCGTGCCAAGTGTACTCAGCTCTGAATGCACAGTTCTGCACTCAAAGGTGAAATCTCATCCGTGAGGGCTGAGCATCTCTCAGCAAAACATTTTGCCTCTCTGTGCCCATGAATAGGTCTGTAAAAAAGCACGTGTGCTCTCTCAAACTCTCTTTAGTCACACTGGTTCACAAAGCACTAAGGCATACAATAATTATATTATCAAATACCCATCACGTGCCAAGTGTTTTACAGGCATTTAAAAATCCTTTTAACAACACAGTAGAGTAGAAATCATATCCTTGTTGCAGATTCGGAAACTGAGGCTCAGCTAGGAAGTGAAAAAGTGAGTTTTTTAAATGATGCTAGTGTTAATGGTTAGGAGCATGGACTCGAGCCAAACGACATATATTCGAATCCCAGCCCTGCAACTGCCCAGCTGTGAGTACTTGGGGAAGCTCCTTAACCTCTCTGTGTTCCTTACTTTCCTCAGCTGTTAAATGGGCATGGGGTCCCCTGCCTGACAGAGTCTTCACAGGGACTGAGTAAGTTAGATTATGGGAAGCTTCTCGAGCTCCACACAAGCACCGGGCTCTCTCAGTGTCAGCGAAGGTTCTAGGCCACTCTGCTGCCATGTCTCTGGAGGGACTTCAGAATCCGCTCAAGCATCACCCACATTTTAGAAGTGGCAGTAGCCGCCGTGGGAAGGCAGCACACCCCAGACATGGGGATTGCCCGAGCCAGAGGCGGGTCTCCTGACTGTAAGCCTCTGTGCCTTTACTACACTGGAGGGGAGAGGCAGGGAGAGGGAGAATTAGATTTCTTCTCCTTAGCAGAAATGGAAATAGACGAAAGAGTGGCCGAGGGACACAGGGAAGCCTCAGAGCGGGACAGACCCAGGCAGCACAGGCGGGACATAAAGGGCTAAGCTTTGGAGGCGGGCTGACCTAGGAACGGGAACCTCCAGTCCACCACTCCTGGCCATATGGCGGCGGGGGCGGGGGGGGGCCGCCTTAACTCATGGAACCTCAGCTTCCACATCTACAGAATGGGGCAGTAATGCCAGACAGATGTTGTGGGGCTGAAATAAAGTAGAGCACTCAGCCCAGTGACTGCCAAGGAGTAAATGCTCAATAAGTCACTGCTGCTATTAATTACTTAATTCCCAGGCAGTGCCCTTATATGCACTTTGAGCCTTCCAAGGGTGACGTGTAGCCCTATGTGTACGAGGAAGGACCGGAAGAAAATTGGGTGTGGGCAATGACTCAGTTAGGAGATCAGAGACGTGAAGATCTGAGTCTGTTGGTGCCTTGCTGTGCGACTTGGGGCAAGTGTCTTCCCCTCTCTGGGCTCCAGTGGTCCTATCTATAAAATAAGTGAGTTGCAGCGGGGGATCTCCTAGGTCCTGCCCACCTCCTGTGAAGTTTCTAACTTGCTCTAGGAAGCCCAGAGTGTCCAGGCAAGCCTTTGACAATGCTGCAACCGGAAACCACCCCTGCTTGGAGAGGTGTCGTGCGTGGGAGGACTCCGCCGTATCCACAGCAGAGCCCATAAAGGCATGAGCCAGATGCACGCCCCTAGTTGCAGGAAGGCTTTTACGGCCACCTCTGCGATCCATGCAATGGCCTGGGTGCGTTACTGATTGCACTCCTACCCTTCCTGTCTTGCTTTTGCTGAGCCGCTAGAATCCCTGTTAAGAGCATTACTTCATCCACAAGCACCTTTAGCCTCTTCCTCTGCTGCAGTCCCCGGGCATGCATCTCCCACAGACTCTGTCCCAATCACAAGACGGCTGTTCCCCTAATCACCTACAAATGCCACCCCCTCCCCCATGCTTCTCTTGTGGAACCAGGCCTGAGTTATCACCTCGGACAGCTCAGGAGCATCTGCGCTGGATTAAATGTTGGGGCAATTAGCACTTCTCCCCAGCTGTCTGGGGATGAAGTTCCCGCCCTTTGCCACTAGCATGCCCTGGACGTGTTCAGGGGTGGTAGGAAGAGCAGGGCGGAGGGGCCCGTCAGCACCACCCACTCACTCATAACTGTGGGCAAGAACTTAGCCTCCAGGACTTCTTCCCTCATTCGAAAAAGGGGATGTTGGTTTCTTTTTCAAATGTCTGGCTGGTGGGAGTTGTCAAAATGAGAGAAAGTCCGGGGCACCAGTCTGGCATCCCGGAAACACTTTAAAAGTAAAGAAGCTGTTATTACCAAGGTTCTCCATCTTGGTTTACAAAAATACTATAAATTCGAGAGCTGAACTGTGCAATATGGTAGCTACTATATTAGCGGGGCTGTTTGCATTTAAATTTGAACTGTTTAAAATTAAATAGAGGGTAAAACGTGGTTGCTTGGTCGCTCCAGCCATGTTTCCAGTACTCCACAAGCCAGATGTGGCCAATGGCCACCATACCAAAAAGCACAGACTGGGACAATTTTCATCACAGCAGGAGGTTCTACTGGGCATTGCTAGTCTAGAGAGTTCATATATTGTACAGGTTTACTTGAGCAATAAGTCAGGTTTCCCTATGGTTCATACCAGCTCTCCACCCCACACTGTGGCTTCATGCACGACAGATGCCCCCTTTCCTGACTTTCTGGGGCTAGCCACCCACAGAGGGATAGCTTTCAAGCCACTGCCTCTCCAGATTCTATGGGAGCACACATGGAGCATCAGGGATTCTCTCCACTAGAAGTGACCTTAAAGGGAAGCTAGTTCATCTGTGTTTATCTTCCCCAGGGCTGCCATGTACGGTGGCCCAGGTTGTATACTACCCAATTTCAGGGGTTACTCATAGGCACGCTGTACTTTCATTACCTTATTTAATCCTGCCAAACCATGAGGCAGGTGATATTATATCCCTCCCCCCCCATGAGAAAACTGAAACTTAAAGGGTTTAACAACTTGCCCAAGTCCTCCCACTGGTAAGTGGTGAAGTTAGGATTCGAACTCAGAGTCCAGATCCAGCATCATATTGGCTCCCAAGAAACAAATGAACTGGAGGTTTTATTTGTCAATTTGCTTTTAGCATTAGTGGGAGGGAGTACGTGAACTTCCCCTATACTAGTCCCTGTCCTCTTCTGCCAGGATCTGGAACTTGTTTGGAAAGCAAAGAATTCCGGCTCCATACAAGCTGTTTAATTCAAGATACTCTGGGCCGTAGGTTTCTGCTGTGTTTACAGGCAGCAAGAGGGGATCTGAGGTGAATACTAGATTTGGCTCTCAGGCCCCTGGTCTGAGGGTAGAGGAAATTCATTTTCGGTACAAACTAGAAACGTCAATTGTATTAGGAGCCCATTTGGCACGCGTCCCCTCATTCTTTGAGCCGACAAGCAATACCCCACTCCTTTGCGTCTAGCCTCTTCGCCAGTTGCCAAACAGAACTGCTTGAGTCGTCTGATAAATTTACATTTTCCTCTCTTTTAAATACAAACTGGCCATGAAAGGTACTTGGCAGGCCCCAGGCAGACTGGGTTTCAGTTTGATAACATGACCGCGGCCAGAATAGTATTTGGCTCAGCAGTTTGGGTAACTGTTAGCAACAGTTTTATGTAAGGGAGGGAGAGGGAAGTTGATCAGCCTGCGTGAGGCCGTGGTAATCTCTGGCCTTTGCTTGTCCCGGCCCTGGCTTCTGCTTCCCTGGCAGGCAAGGATGGGAATGACCCGGGTACGCAGACATCTAAGAGTATACACGACAAAGAATTTTCAGGGGGTGCCTATTGGATTCAGTCTGTCCACAGTTGGGGGGCTCTGGATTCTGACTCGGGCGACACCAGCTGCATCACCTTGGGTGGTTGAGTGACTGCTCTGAGTGTGAATTTTTCTCATTTAGAAAATGAGATTTTTCTGGACGTTCACTGAGGCTCTCATGGCTTGACATTCCATGAGCACCTACTAGGTGTCTGGCACTGTCCCAAGTACTGAAAACTCAGGGCAGATGAAAGAGGTGGTAAAGCACTTCACAGCCTGGAGAAGGGGCACCCGAAATGAGTTACAGGCAGTGTGGCCGGTGCTGGGGTGGGGGGAACCCAAGCAGGGGCACTGAGCCCAACCATAGAAGGGACCTCAAGAAAGAGTTCCTGAAACTGATGGTTGCCAGAGGGGAGGGGTGGGGGGACGGGCAACACAGGTGCAGGGGAGTGGGAGTGGGAGGTATGGGCTTCCAGCACAGGGAAGATAGTCCACGGTAGTGTGACAGCCCTGCATGGTGACCGATGGTAGTGACATATACGGCGAGCACAGCTGTGTTGTACACCTGCAACAAATCGTGTGTCAACCATCCTTCAATAAAAAAGGGGGTTCCTGGAGGAATGGGTGCCCAGGCTGGCCTGGGGAGGAAGATGAGGAGCGAGGTAGCTGGAAAAGGAGAGAGGAGCTCTTTCATGTGAGGAGCAGGTGAGGGGCATTGAGGATGGTGGTTTGCCAGGGCCTGGCACTGGCGGGGCACTAATAAAAATGGATGAGGACCGGCTGCAGGTGAAGCCAGCCCTGGGTCCCAGACGGCTAAACCCCAGCCCTACCTGGCAGAAGGTCCTTGCACACCCTTGAAATATAGGGCTCGGGCTATCAACCCAAAATGGCTGGTTTATCGTGGTGGAACCGTGGTGGATTTGCCATTTCCCTTTTCTGTTCTAGATTCCCCACCTGTCTTAGAAGGAGTAAGAGAAACTTTAGTCATAGACTCCATCAGCAGGAACGGCTCGAGTACCAGACTTCCTCTCGGTTACAGGGGGATGGAGATATGATCCCACCTGCTATCTCCTCCTGGTCTCCCTTTCTTCCCTAGTGTTCTCCGGACTGTATACTTCTCATCGGAATGCGGTTCCCCTTCTCTTCATGCTGCTAGAGCCAACTGATGTCTTGAGGACATGGCGGCATTACGTTTTTAAATTCCTATCACAGTAACTCAACTGTGATTGTCTTTACACCATGGGATTCCATATATGCTTTCCTTCATAAGGGCTCTAACACTAACCATTTTGCAAAGCTAAGAATCTCTGAGCCAAAATAGGGTGTTTAGGGAGGAAAACAAGGCTTAGGGAGATTCCCAAAGAAGATAATCAGAACCCAGTTTCTTAGCTTCTGCATTGGGGACACTGCCGTATCTGCAGAGGATCCGGAAGGATGCTGTTCTTCAGATACAGATGGGTCTTCGGTAAGCAGATAGGATGGGGCCCAGAGCACCAACCTTCAAGTTCAAAAAGTCTTACCTGGGCAGCATCGCTGTCTTCACACTTGATTCTACACTCGCTGTTGAACTGGAAGCCATTCGTGCACTGGTAGAGCCCGTGGAATTTCGGCGGAGGTGGGTCACAGGTCACAGGAACACAAGCGCCCTCCTGCCAGCTACCATCTTGGGTACACTGAGTCTTGAAGGCCCGTCTTCAACGAAGAGATAAAAGAAGAGATGTCTCAAGGATCAGATGGCTGGACTCATGCCCTATCCAACACCCAAGTTTCTCTGGAGCCAGCTGACCTCTCATTTCCCTTTCCCACTCCGGATCCCTGACCTGCCCTATTAGTTGGTAAGGGGCACGTGTAGGGATTAAAGAAAATTCATTGACTTGGGTCAAGCAAGAGTTTCAGACATTCTCTCAGTTCCATGTGGACTGAAATAAACTCAAGTCCTGCCAACTCTTGTCCTCTTCCTTCCTTCTAGAGTGTTCTGATGGGTGCTAGTACAATGATGATATTCATTCCTACCATTTATTGAACAATTACTATGTGCCAGGCACTTTGCAAACACTTTCTAGACACATCCTCATTTATTCTTTACAATAATATAATGCAGTAACTGGTATTATCATCTCCATCTTATTATTGAAAACTTGAGGCCCAGAGAAGTGAAGTCGCTTGCCTGAGGTCACACAGCCAGGAGGCAGTTACTAACAATGTCCCTGTAGATTCTCACAGGGCAGCATATGATGAACAGTGGGTATTGCCTCCAGCAAAAAAAAAAAAAAAAAAAATGAGTGCTTCCTTATAATCAGACATCCAGACCTGGTTCTCCTCGCCCCCAGAACCTGTGAGAGTGTGTTTCCAGCCCTACTTACTTCTTTGACTTCCGAGAGGAGCCAGGCACGTGATATCCAGGTTTGCACTTGTACTTGCAGAAAGAGCCCACCTTGTGCTTGTTCTCTCGGCACCGGGCTGTCTGGAGGTCTGCGTTGGGCACTGGGGGCGGAGCTAGGCACATGAGCTCACACAGGGCCTCTGGGAAGGACCACAGGCCGTCCTCCATACAGGTCAGGAGGCTGTTGTTGCCTGGAGGACACAGGCGGGCAAGGTTAGCAGACAGGGTGAGGGGGGTCTCTGACACCCAAGCTAACTTATGGGCTGCCTGGGCTTCATTAAGCTTGAAAAGCCAGAGGGTCCTCCTCTTGGAATTCCAGCCCCTTCTGTTTCCAACTGAGGGCCTCTGGGAGATGGAGGGCGCTGTGACAAAGAGAAGAGCCAGCGCGGGGACTAACTCACCCCACACTGACAGTAAATTAAAATTCAAGGATCCCAACTCCCGATTCGGAACCTCTTCTACTGCGTAGGAAAGAGACTTTCCATGGGGTGCCTGGGTGACTCAGTCGTTAAGCGTCTGCCTTCGGCTCAGGTCATGATCCCAGGGTCCTGGGTTCAAGCCCCACATCGGGCTCCCTGCTCAGCAGGAAGCCTGCTTCTCCCTCTCCCACTCTCCCTGCTTGTGATCCCTCTCTCGCTGTGTCTCTCTCTGTCAAATAAATAAAATCTTTAAAAAAAAAAAAAGGAAAGAGACCTTCCTGCTCCTTCCATCCATCCTCCTTGTTGCCCGGTGGGCATCCGAGCCGACAGGGGAAAGTACATATGCCTTCTAATAACTGACAAAGCAGGCTCCCATCAGAATCGACTCTGAGCTCTCGTAGCAGTGTGCCGGGCGACCTCGAGCTGCTGGCCGCTCCTCTCTGGGCCCCGTGCCCCTGTACATCTCTTAGCCCCCCTTGGGCCTGGAAGTGATGGCACTATGGTATCCGGAGGTCTGATATTTTTTTGCAGGCCCCAGCGTTCAGTGAAGCTTCGCCAGAGCAGCGCTCCCCTGAAGCCCATGTCAGCTCCGACAGGTGTGCAGATTGCCACCGGGAGGCTACGGTGCAAAGAAGTAAACCACGAGGCGTCGGGCTTTTCACTGCCAGCTCATATATTATCGCTGCACAGCCTGCCCCAAACCTCCCCAAGACAATTAGAGATGGACACGAAGCCCGCGTTTCTCAACCGAACGCTCCTCTCTGCGGTTATTACCGAACGGTGTTGACAAGCAGGGCTGGACGCCTGTGGGAGGCTGCAGGACGGGAAGGGTGGAGGGGTGGAGGGGCGAAGGGGTAGGGGCGGAGCTGACATGCACTGCGTCCTGAGTGCCGTGGGACGTTGTCTGAGTTAGTCTCACAGCAGGCTCGTAGCAGGACGACGCATGTTTGGGAGTAGAGACTCAGAGAGAGAAGTGACCTGACCAAGTCCTCGTAGTTAGTAAAAGGCAAACTGAAGCTTAGAATCAGTGTTGTCTAACAACGGAGGAGTTGTTTTCTATGGGAACCTGGCTACCTATGCTCAGTAGAGCCTTTTCGTCTGTTCTCAGGGAGCCAAATGAGAGAGGCAAACCCCAGCTCTCCGGTCTACAGAAAGAGAACGATTGCGCCTGTCTCTCATGGCGATGAGAAGACAAAAGGAAACATTTCTGAAAAGTGTCCAGGGAAATGCTGTCAGGGTCCTTATTTGCTTCTTCCCCCGTCCCTCCCTTCTTGCCTCCCTCCCTCCCTCCCTCCCTCCTAACCTTGCCTTCACTGGCTGATCTGAGGAGGGCCGTGTGAGGGCACAGAGCCCTTCATTCATCCAACAAGCATCCGGACATGCCGACTATGTGCCAGTTACTCTGTATGTTGGGACACAGCAGTGAACAAAACAAACAAACAAAAACCCCTCAAACCCTGCCCTCTTGGAGCTTCGATTCTAGCGTGATAGGGAGGAGCCCAAGAAACAGCACGAAGAAATACGCCATTTGGTGTGCTGGAAGGCAGCAGGTACTCTAGAGACAAATAGAGCAGGTCGAAGATGAAGCAGGGAGTGCTGTGCCCTTTTCTGTAGGCTCCTTGCTCCCCCCGACCCCATTCACTGTCTTCTTTCTCCTCCTGCGTCAGTGCGATCCATCTGGTGAGCACGAGCCAACCTAGTGTCTGTGAACCCCAGGATTGTGTGCTTATAAACAGTGATGCTGCAAACTGCAGAGATTTCTATGTCAAGTGGAGGATGATTCATTTGGGTTCCATAGAAGCAGAGAGGCTTCTAGAACACCAGAGACTACAAACTACTTTTTGCATTGCTTTTGTGATTGGGGCAGTGTTTTGGGGTGTACGGGCATAGCTAAAGCTATGGGAGAAACTTAGGAGGGGAGAGGGGAAGAGAAGTTATAAAAGATACAGGGCACACACCTCTCTGAATTCCCCAAGAAGGATAAAATACCGGTGGAAAAAAGTGTTAAGGACTCCTAAAAGCACACCCTATCAGCTATGCAAATTATACGTCGTGGAGGGCAAGTCATGGTCCTTTGGTGGCAAGAGAACATAAAAATTGCAAAATGTTCATCAAGAGAGGAAACGCAAACCAGAAATGTTAAATTCTGAGAGAGGGTAAATAGGAGTTAGCTGTGTACCACGGTCAAAGGAAGAACCACGCTAAAGCCTCAACTGGTGGTTCAGGACCATGGACATGCCCCCTCCCCGCCAACAAACAAAATCCAAGAGATGCAGATGCTGAACTGCACAGAATCAGTATTTCCATGACCCAGCTAGAGCCACTACTCTATACCCACCATGTGGCTTTGAAGAAAGCAGGGTATGATACGCGCTATCCGTGTCCTGCCCTCATCCCCTTGGCCTTGACCTCAACACCCCGAAGGATGGTCCCCATACCTGCAACCCTATGCCAGAGGCCTTTTGCTGCGGTCCCACAGGGCCAGCTCCCAGGGCTGGGGCTTCAGTGCTGCTGGAAGTGGCATTAGTTCTGAAGAAGATTCTACCCTGTCTCCCATAGCTCCCCAAAAGGACTGAGTTCTGGTTGCCCACAGCAGAACCTGGCTCTCAAAGAGATTCTGGATGCTTCTGTCACGTCCAAGCCTCCCTATCTCATTCCCTACCTGTGTTTCCTGGGGGAACATGACTCAGGACAATAGGCGCAGGCATTTCTGAGCCCGGGGCTTCTGGTTGGGGTAACAGTGATGTCACAGACAGGGTTCCAAAAGGTTATGCGACCCTGAACTTTCATCCGTTCATCTTTTAAAGTCAGGAAAATAAATCGTGCTCAGCCTGTCTACGAATGTGCCTCAAGAAATTCCAGTCTCTAACGAGCATTAAAATAATTGTAAATGTGCTGTCAAAAAGATGTGTCTATTTTTATTATTTCATTCAAAAGATTACCCAGAAGACCAAATCTCCTCCAGAGTGCCTTTAAGATTGAAATTAACCTAGGGCAGACTACAAGGAGAGAAATGCCAGGAGCCCTAACGTCTGGTTTTCTTAATACCTCTTACATGGTGCCTGCATCCTAAGGCCAGGGAATGGACCTTTTTCATTCTTTTAGTGCCAGAACCTAGCCTAGTGCCAAGCACACAGTGGGCCTTTAATACCATTTGTTAAATGCATGAGCTATTATGTATCTACATGTGACCTTGAACAAGTCACCTAACCTCTCTGGCCCTAAGCCAAAGCTGTCTTTGAGTTCTTGCAGCTCTAACCTTTTAGGATGTGAAAGAATATTGGCCACTGTATTGTTTTGAGAAAACACAGATGCAGCTAGAGGGACTGGAAGTGGACATGCAAGCCCTCGGGAGGCTGCATCAGCCAAAGGCTAGTGCTGCTGGAACTGGGAGGAGATTCAGTTTCATTGCTCTTGATGAGAAATAGACCTTAACAGAAGTTACAGAAGAGGAAGAGGAAGAAAGACAGGATGTGTAAAGAGGTCTCTGTGTACAAGGTCCGGGGCCAGGTGAGGCAGGAAAGGAGGACATCAAGGATTTCAGGATGGTTGTTTTCCCAACGATAGCCAACGGGAACTTCAGCCAGCACTCAGGCTGTAGCAAGTCAGAGGGAAAAACCAAGGCAGAAGAGATGGACCCATTAAAGAGAAGCATGCAAGCCGCTGCCAATTTTAGTCCTGAAGGCACATTGCTAGGCTCCTGGACTCCAAGGAGTCAAAGAGAAAATCCGAGCTGGGCTTGGCAGTCCCAGAAAATATGTCGTTTGGTCAGTCAAATTGGATTCTTCCAGCTCTAGCCAGGGTGAATCAGGTTATATCTTGATCGTTTACTTGTCTAGTTCTCCCCCTAAATGTCTGAAAGGAAGGCTACTAAGAGCCGTTTATAATTCAGCCCATGAGGCAGGACGCTTGACGCTCCTAATAACCCAATTTGTCATTAACCCCATTTTGTAGGTGAGAAAACTGAGTCCCCAAGGAGGGAACATGAGTTCCCTCAATCTAGAGTTGGGGCTCCCTCCAGGTCTGCCTGACTCCTAAGTGCTCTCTTGATCCCACGACAGAGCCTTTATCCATGAGCACAGCCAAAGAACATCTCACGGAATCAGGAGAATTTGGACGAGTGGAGTATCTCGAAATCAAAAACTGGTCATATAATAATATTTCAGAACCTCCCCCCACCCACTGTCCAGAATGGTGCCCGTCACTTCTAAATTTCTTTACCAAGGGGCCCCATTTATCATTCCACATGTTAGGCTCAAAGGAAAGAGGCTGTTGTCAGATGCAGTCACAGTCAGGAATAAGTGATGGAAACCTTCCCAACATGTTAGACTCAAAGGAAAGAGGCTGTTGTCAGATGCAGTCACAGTCAGGAATAAGTGATGGAAACCTTCCCAAGAAGAGAGAGAAAGGAGCCTGCAACGCTGGACACCTGCCATGAAGAAGAGGCTTGCGAATGCCAATGGCAGACATAAGTTAGATGATTTCACCAGATTGGTGGGAATGGCATGCCTAGCAAGGGGGTACCATTTCTAGGGTCAGGACCCTGCCCCAGCGCTAATGGTAACTCCTATGTGTCCTTGTGTAAATGACTTCCTCTCTTGGGCCTCGGTTTCCCCATCGTGAAATCAAATGATTCACCTTAATGACCCCTGGGCTCCTCCCAGCTCTGACGTTCCAGACTTTGATGGGGTTCTGGGTTGAGGGACAGACTTTAGGAAAGGTTAAAGGGCTTCTGAGATAGCAAGTAAAAGCAGATTTGACTCTCAAAACTTGGGCAACTGCTCAGTGTGGAGCAGGAGTGAGAGAGATGGGAAGAATTATTTAACAGATGACATCTTAGCCTTGGTCACATCAAAAAGTGGTCTCATAATGGACAAGTCCCTTCTCTACTGTGAGCCTCAAGTCCCCAGGCAGAATCTGAGTAGTGGTCTCCCATCAGCACTCAGCAGTGGTTTGGACTCAGTGACGTCCTGGACCCTCACCATCCCAAACACTAAGGTAACAGAGGGAGAAAGCAGCGTTCTCTTAGGAGCTGTATGAGAATTTCTGTTGGAGTGGGGGGATGACCCTGTTTTTGTGGAGAAGATGCCCTGATGAGACCCTTGGGGCCCTCCAGGGCCCGGCCACCTGCTTGTGAGAGAAAGAAGGGTCTCCTCCTGAGACAGAAGAGAGAATGTGCAATTTCTACCGTGAGGGAAGTCGTAACAGGGTTCTGCAGGGAGAGGTGCTGGGTGTCCCCCCAGCTCACATCCCTGTCTTCGGAAAAGTCTGAGAAATCAGGAAGTGCTCAATGGTATTGGGTATCCTCTGGAAACAAGTGGATAGGCTGAGTTTTCAATCTGAGATTAAAGAAGCAAAACAGAAAAGCCAACAAAAGCCAGAAGCACACAATAGGTCTTTTAAAAAGATCTTTGTAAGAGGAAGGTGTGCTTACTTTATTTTTTTTTAAGATTACCTATTTAAGTAATCTCTGCTCCCACTCACAACCCCGAGACCGAGAGCCCCATGCTCTTCCAACTAAGCCAGCCTGGCGTTCCAAGGCACACTTGCTTTTTAGAAGCCCCACTCCACACTCAATACCAAATGCACCCAACACAGCTGAGTTGAGGTTGACGAGGTGATATAAGTAATGTGGCATGTTCAGCCCTTTAATTAAACATTTATGACTTTGAAGTTTTGTTGTCGTTGTTGTTGAACTTGAGAATGTATTTTCCCTCCGTTTCTGTAGCTTCTGTCTGTGCTGGTAGGGCTCACTTGGTAAAGTGCTTTGGCAGAAGGGACTCTAAGGCTGTGAGTTTGCAGGATATTTTGCATACATCTTGAAGAGGGCTCAGAATTTAAGTGAAAGTGGGGATATTCAAGAAAAACTCACTGGGAATAGAAGGGGGAGTGGGTTTGGGGGGGTTACCCACGTTATACCAGTTGCCAGGGGGCTACATGTAACTGCTTGGCTGCCAACACTTAACCTCCGGGTCCTGGACGGAGCGTGGATGAGGGAGCGTGTCTCCACAGCCCCCAGGACTAAGGCCTCCATGAGACAGAGGTCAGGGCTGGGAGAGAGGCCACGGCACAAGGTTCTCACAAGGGGCGCCCCTTGGGGAAGGTCAGTATTCGCTAAGCACTTTCTCTGGCTCTGGAATCTTACACATACTTTCTCTTTCAGGCCTCAACCTGACCCTTCAATGTGAGCCCTCCTCCAACCCATTTTACAGATGAGAGTACTGAAGCTCAGAGCCATGAAATAGCTCTCCTAAAATCAACAGCTGGGGCAGAGCCAGGAGTGGAATCCTAGTCTGTCTGATTCTAAAGACAGTGCTCTTTTTGCTTCATTTAAGCTACTAGGAAAAGCAAAATGAAGGGAGGAAAGGGAAGCAAACAAAAAATGGGGGGAAAAAGTTGTGTTGTTCACCTCTTTACCCCCTCGCTTGAGAAGGGGGGCATTTTCAAGGTCAAGAAAGAGGTAGTGGGGCCTTCACACAGTCCTTGCTGCCTGCAGACCCAAGGAGAAGCGTCAGATCTGGGATTGAGCACCAGATGATGCTGACAACCAAGGTGCATGAAATGCCAGTGGGTCCTAGTGGGTCAGTGTGGCCACTGGAGAGAGGCTTCTCTGTACTCTCAAGGGAAGAACAAAGTTGGGATCAACAATGATCAGAATGGTGGTCCCTCTGGGGCCTCGCCCCCACAGTGGGGTCACCCCCCCTTCCACCATAGTCAGCAGAGAAGCAAAAGAGTCTGAATCACTTCGACTGAGAATCATTATTAGCAGGGGTGCCTGGGTGGCTCAGTCAGTTAAGCATCTGACTCTTGATTTCGGCTCAGGTCATGGTCTCAGTGTTGTGAGTTCAAGCCCTGTGTCAGGCTCCACACTCAGTGCGGAGTCTGCTTGAGATTTTCTCTCTTCCTCTCCCTCTGCCCCTTCCCCCCAGCGTGTGAGCACATGCATGCGCGCTCGCACGCTCTCTCTCGCTCTCTCTCTCTCTCCAAAATAAATAAACAAATAAATCTTTTTTTAAAAAAAGGATCATGTTAAGCCACAGTGAGGGCTCTAATAATCAATGCTAATTTACACACCACTCCTTCCCAAAGGTCTCTGTTTGAGAGGAGAAGTGTGATTTCTTGGTCTGGAGTCATGAACATGCCCCACATCTGGGCCACGGGAAGGACTCAGAAATGTGGAGGGCTTACAATTCCCACTATCTCTTCACCTCTCTCCAGCCTACGTCTTTAGAGTATCTCACCTGAAGTGTCTATAGTTTCTGTATTCAAATCACATTGGGTTAAAAATGAGAGGAACTAAAGGCTGAATCCCATGAGTGCTTCCTGTTTTTCTTTTGGAGTAGTATAGGGAGATTACTTGGTCTTTCATTCACTTCTTAAAAGAAACATTTCCTGTGGTATTACTTTTATCAATTTATCCAGCCATCCAGTCAAAACACCTTATTAAGTCTTATTAAGGGCAGGTTCCGGGCTTGCTGACAGCGATGGGAAAATGGATTACACATCGCCACTGCCCTTCAGGAACTCATGTCCAGTAATCATTGGGAGTTCTGCATCCCCCTGAAAATTTGGGGAAACTATTGACCCTCTCCAATCATCAAAATGCCTGAAACTCAGGATTACATAATATTACATCTAAGTTCAAGGGAATTCATAGACCTGCCCCCCTAGCCCCCCACACCCCATGGGAATCCATTATTCCTACTCAGTAGAATGATGGCGGGACCTTTGCTTGATGGTCGGACACGTCTGAGGTAGGACCCATGCTTGAGTGAGATACCATTTTGGGTAACTGATAAAGGGACCATGTTCCCTCTGATAAAACAAGGAAAGGAGAAAGTCCTGGCACCTCTGAGAAAGGGTATACAGATCTTCCTCAACATATGATGGGGTGACATCCCAATAAACTCATCATAAGTTGAAAATATTGCAAGTCAAAAATGCATTTGTATTCCTAACCCACTGAACATCCTGGCTTAGCCCAGCCTACCTTAAACGTGCTCAGAACACTTACAGTAGCCTACAAAGTGGGGCAAAATTGTCTCATGCAAAGCCTATGTTATAATCAAGAGCTGAATACCTTATGTAATTTATTGACTGCTCTACTGAAAGTGGCAGATAGAATGGCTGTTGGGTATCAGCTGCGAGGTGCCACTGCCCAGCACCCCGATGCTGTGTTGGACCACATATCAGCAGCCCAGGAGAAGGTCAAAATTCAGAATTCAGAGTATGGTTTCTACTGAAAGCACGCCGTTTTTTACACCATCAAAAAATTGCAAGTCGAACCATCATAACTTGGAGATCATGTCACGTCATGTCAAACCCTCAGTATTCTGACTGGAAGCCAAGAGTGTTCCTTTAGAAATACCACTAACTTGCTCTGTGATTTTCTTCAAGTTCCTTCTTCCCTCTCACTGGACTTCGGTTTTACCATGTTTCCAAATAATCAGTTATTTGACCCGAGCTCTGAGTACCCTTCTGGTCCTGACATCCTCAGTCAGCCAGGCCAGCCTGACTCTGCCTCACTCACCCAACACTCCAGGGCCTTGCCCAGGAGATCCCCATCAAGAGTTCCTGCCCACAGCTGCTCCCCTCCCAGTGGATCCCTCCTAAAGAGGAGCAGTGGCTTTGGTGAAAGACACACCTGGGCCCCCACATGGATCCCACCCTGGAGAGTGTGGCCTTGGGCAAGCTCTTTAACGTCTCTGAGGCTCCATGTCCTCCGCTGGGAACAGAGCAATAATCCTAAAATGTATCTCTTGGGCTTACTGGGTCCTCATCCTAGCCAGTTCCAAATGTTACTTTCTTTTCATCTTTCCCTCCCTCCCTCCCTCCCCCCCTCCATTCCTTCCCTTCTCTCTTCTGTAAGACTTGCAAGGACCCTGGAGGAGATGTCACCATCTTATTATCCACACTCTACTTTCTCCTTGGCTGCACAACAAGGCAGTGCACATAAATTCCCTCCATTGGTGGAGGGAAATCAGAAGAGCAGATAAAAGCCCGCCCGACCCTGGGTGTTTGAGACACAGGGGAGGGCCTGGAAGCAACCTCCGGGTTTCCCACAGAGCAAGCAGGGCAAACCCGGCCCAAGGGCCCTCCTCCATACCTCTTAGCTGCGCGGGGTGACGGCACTGGAAGGAGCATTTGCTGCCAAAGGTGGTGCCTTTAAGGCAGGAGAAGGACGCGGCATAGACGTGATGCTGGTCTGGGACGCCGCAGTCCACTGGCTCGCAAGCCACCTGCTTGTTCCACTTGCCCTCGCTGCAGGTCACCGTGACGCTGGGTCCCACCTGGAAGGCAGAGGTGGAGACAATAAGCACACTGAACACCAAATGTGGGGAACACCTCTCCCCTCACCCTGGCCCCACTAGTCTCATCCTGGCCCCAGGAGATCCACGTTGAACTGTAACTGGCTTTTAATGAATTAGGTATCTCAGTTCCCATTCTTCAGATGCAGACACTGAGGCTCAGGGACACTGATTAGCTCCAAGTGACACGGCCGCACTCCTAACTGCTCCCTGCAGAGCCTCCCAGATCAGTATTCCCATGGTGCTGGCTGATGAGAATCTCGAGGCTCAGACCTCCTGGGGCCTGATGACTTCTTTCATGAACTAGCCTGTGAAAAATGCACAAGGTGGTTCACTGGCTCTCGATCGTCATATCTTTTCTTGGCTCTGCAAGAGGTAACAGGTATCCTTTGCAGCGTTTGGCACCGAGTGGGCATTGCCCTGGGATACGGGAGGCCCGGATGTTTGTTCTCTGTGCTATGAGACCTTGGACAAGTCCCTTTCCTTCCTTGAGCTCTTGCATTGGCACTGAACCCCAGAATGGCTCTAAGAGCCCCTCCCTGCCCTGAGATAGTTGAGAGAGGTAGACATGAGGACAGAACAAGCCTGGGAAAAGCGAAAAGGGTCGACAGGGCTTTGAACCAAACCAGAAGATGGCAGGGGTGCGTGGGTGGAGGGGTGAGGCTGAGCTTCAGAGCCAAGGGAGGGACCGCCGTGGGCAGCCCACAGGCTGCCATTCAAGGAGGAAGCCGCCAGATCCCAGGGGATTGGGGATGCCAAATGTTGATCTGGAATTTTAAAAGCAAAGGACATTTTTCCCCTCTTGAGCACACATCAAAGGGAGCAGAGGTCCCTCCCTGCCAAAACAGCCTAATTGTTTCCGCAGGAGTTCAGACCTGCCATGTTAAACACAAGGAAGTAGGTGTCTAAGACAAGCAATTGAGGGCCCCGGAGCTCCCTCCAGCGGGACTCTGTTCCAGCCCAGAAGCTCTGTACCGCGGCCTCCCCAGCTGCAAGGAGTGTCCCCGTGTGTCTGCAGCAGGAAGGGCAAGCCTGGCAGCAGGGTCCCGGGAAAGGCTGCGTCTAGTGACCGAGCTCTGGAACCTCAGATCTCTGGGCTTCATCACCCCACTCCCCACACCCCCACCCTGAGACCCCACAGCAGCATCTGGCTGAAGCAACACTCTGCCGCATCTCAAATCCACCCACTGCCATGGCCCTTGCGCCGGACACTGCCCTCCTCCGTGAGCAACTCCGATGACCCGTGAGGGCTCTCCCCGGGATGGGTCGCACCGCCAGACGCCAAGCCACACCCAAGCGGGCAGCCAGAAGGACCTTGATCAACCATGATCTGACCACGTCACTGTCTTCAAAAGCTCCCTGTGGCCCTAAAGATCAACCTCAAACTTCCTGGCCAAGCGAACAGGGCTGTGCACTGGTGGACCTTGCTGGCCCCTCCAGCCTCATTGCTTGGGTGAGTTGGGGGGAGGAATAAATCTGTCTGTGGCATGCTCTTTTCTCAGCCACAGGCCTCCTCCTACCATTTCTGCCTGTGCCCAGAGCACCTGTTTCTTCCCCACACCCCCAACACACCCCTGTGCCCATCCATCTATCTGGTTCTCTGTTTTCAAGCCACTTCTTCCAGGGTGACTCCCCCTGGGCTTTCACCACACCCGGCACCTGCCTAGACGGGCATTTATCACACTGAGAGGTCATGACTCACTCCTTGCCTGCTCCCGGCAACAGTCCTCCTTGGGAGGAGGGCCTAGGTTTATCTTAGTGACATCTGTTTTTTTCTCTAGCACCTACTACAGCATCTGGTCCCTGGCGAACAGATGTTTTGCAATCTGTTTTACAATGACAGTGAATGAGTGAACACCTCATTGACAGAGGGCTCACCTCTTTCTAAAGCAGCCCCTTCCACTGTAGCGGAGCTCAGCCTGTGAGGGTTTCTTTCCCAAGTGCTCCGCAGGTACTTTTCCACACTTACAATCCCAACAAAGACTCTGATACGTGCTGTGTGTATGGAATACTATTCTGCACAGAAACCCTGGTCTTGGAAATTCCAGATTCATGGATTGATGCATTCAATCAACACGTATTTATTGAGCATTTGCTGGGTGGCGGCACCCTGTGAAATGCTCAACACCCGGTCAGCCAGCCTCTCCCCACCCCCAACCCCGGGGGACCGCAGAGGGGCTCTGAGCCCAGCACCTGCGCACACCTGGCTCTTGATGAGCTCATCATCCCGCTGTATCTGGAGCACGTAGCCCGTCCGGCAGCTCACGGTGCACCGGGCGCCATGATAGCGGTCACTGCTGGAGCAGTTGAGAGACGCGTTCTCCACGGCCAGTTCTGGGCAGTCAGCGGCCTCACATGCGAAGTGCACGCAGCTGGGGAGGAAAGCAACAAGATGGTAAGAGGGGGCTTTCCTGATGGCCCGCCGCACGCCAGAGGGAAGAGCAAAGCTGACGGCATTCCTCTCCCGGATTCCAGGAGGCTGAGACAGAGGAGGGGAAGAGGGGCCGGCTTTGGTGAAGAAAGCTGTGGAGGCAGCAACATTGATCACAGGGCAGTCTGTGGAGGCAGATAAGCCGGGGTTCGAGTCTTGCAGCAAGCTGTATGTGTTGTGAACCTTCAAACCTTGCCGAAGCTCAGGTTTTCCATCTGTGAAATAGGGGTCACGATGGCAGCGAGTAGTCACTGAGTTTCTTATGCGCCAGGCGCCGAGCTGAACGGTAGCCTCTTCATATTTGGTGATAGGACTCACTTCTGAGGGGTGCGGTGAGCATCACAACGGAGAGGGCAGGAACGGTACAGAGCAGAATTCCCGGTCCATAAAAAACACTCAGTACGGGGTAGCTAATAGTGTAAACAAGTCTGTGTTCTAGTACCTAGAAGCTGTGTGGCGTTGGGCAAGGTACGTCCCCTCCCTGAGCTTCAGAGTACGCTCTAATTGGGCCGAGCTCAATGGAGGTGCTGAAGGTAGAAGTCTTTTATAAACTATAAAGTGATTAATGAATTGTTAGTAAGGTTGTACAGTGATCACGCCTTGCTTCTTGCTATAGCTGCCGTTCTAATCTTCCTTCCAATTTGAATTCTACCCACTCTTCAAGTCTGAGCTCCATGTAAACGTCTACAGGAAGCTTCCCTGTGTCCCCAGGGGGGCTCCCTGGCAGGCCGCCTGCCCTCCTTTCTCTCACGGGCCTCACGCTTCATGCATTGACAGCACAGGGCCTGGGTACCCACCATGTGCTGGAATGTGTGCTAATCCTTAAGGAAATGGAAATCCCAAATCCCTGTGCTAGATGATCTCTCCCCTCATGTTACTGTTACACAGACACTCAGTAACATTAGTGACTATTCACCGATTGCTTATGTACATGAGCTCACTCCATCCTCACAACACCCCTATGAGCTAAGTGTTATTCATTTTATAGTTGGAAAAATCGGGGACCAGGGAGATCAAGTTACTTGTTTAAGTTCCCACCCAGACGTGTGACTCCAAAGTCCTTGTTGTTAACCTTGCCCCACACCTGGACTGGAACTTCCCTGAGGGTAGAGACAATGCCTGTTTCATCTTGGTATACTCTGCGTTGCAATAAAGAAACTTTGCATGCAGTCGGTGTTTCCTAAATGGTGGCAGTGTCGGGCGATAGCTCTTAAAGCACTTGGAGGAGGTTGAGACGTTGATTGGGAACAGTGAAAGTGTGTTGGGGGCAGTTTTCTCTAAACTTTGCCTCCCTGACCTTGTCTACACCAACGCCTACCACACAGTATGCACACACAGAGCTAGGGGACGCCCGCCACACGGTATGCACACGCAGAGCTAGGGGACGCCCACCCCACGGTATGCACACAGAGCTAGGGGACGCCCGCCCCACGGTATGCACACACAGAGCTAGGGGACGCCCGCCCCACGGTATGCACACAGAGCCATGCACACAGAACTAGGGGACGCCCACCACATGGTATGCACACAGAGCTAGGGGACGCCCACCCCACGGTATGCACACAGAGCCATGCACACAGAACTAGGGGACGCCCGCCACATGGTATGCACAGAGAACTAGGGGACGCCTGCCACACGGTATGCACACAGAGCTAGGAGATGCCTGCCCCATGGTATGCACACACAGACCTAGGGGACGCCCGCCACACAGTATGCACACAGAGCTAGGGGACGCCCACCCCACAGTATGCACACAGACCTAGGGGACGCCTGCCCCACGGTATGCACACAGACCTAGGAGACGCCTGCCCCACGGTACGCACACGCAGAGCTAGGGGACGCCCGCCCCACGGTATGCACACAGACCCATGCACACAGAACTAGGGGACGCCTGCCACATGGTATGCACACAGAGCTAGGGGACACCCACCCCACGGTATGCACACAGAGCCATGCACACAGAACTAGGGGATGCCCGCCACATGGTATGCACAGAGAACTAAGGGACACAGAGCCATGCACACAGAACTAGAGGACGCCCGCCACATGGTATGCACAGAGAACTAGGGGACACCTGCCACACGGTATGCACACAGAGCTAGGAGATGCCTGCTCCACGGTATGCACAC